CATTTGTAATCTGTTTCAAACTGAAACCCCAAACATCTTCAGGTATGACTGCCAGTGGTAACTTTGCTCTTTGCATGTCACCAAAGGGTGAGCAGGGAGAAAGAGAAAATGAAGAGGCAGGTAGAGTGAGGAACCAGCCAGCACAAAAAGAGGTCCTCTTCTGGAGGGTTCAAACATCAGATGTTTGAAGAAGGGGTGGAGGACACACAGATTTGGTTGATGTCAGTTCAAGAATTCCAGAAGAGACAGTGAAAAAATTCGAAGAGTGGAGGTGTAGGGAATAAAAGCCGAGTGTTAATGGATGTCTCAGGTCCAACTCCCTTGAAGCGAGGGAAGCAGTAGGGAGTTAGCAAGGATGTGCTCTCAGTTGGAGACCAACTTCAGCCTGATCTCATGGGTGCTCATACCACAGAGTTGGTCCCATCTCGAGGCAAGGTAGCCGCCCTGTGTATCCCCATGACAGCCGGTCATTGACTACAGGCTACTCTAGCAGAGTGGAAGGTGGCTTTAACTCTCTGGGTGAGGGGATGCCCGTCAGGCCGAGGGCAATTCTCTAGGTAAGAAGGGTACACGTATGTGCTTATGAGCATTTTACCAGCCAACACTCAGATCAGCTGGAAGATGGGTTCACTGGAGAAGGAGTTCTGGGAGGGGCATCAACAGTGTCCACAACGTTGGAAGGCTTGGGAGGCACGGACCCCTGGTTGTCACGGAGGTAAAGAGGGACATAAGACAGAGGGGATTGGTGCTGATGGTCTTTGAGATGGATTTTGCTATTTGCCCTTGCAGATATCTTTTCCAACATGCTCCCATGCCCCAGAAGCTTATCCCCTATGGTCTACTGCCTGGATTACTTTGATTCTCTGACTTCCGGTTGCCACTGGAACATGCTGGCAAAAGACTGCAGGTCTGGGTCTTTGAAATCTCTGCTTCCTGGGGGAGGAGAAAAAAGAAAAACAACAACAACACCAACAACAAATCTCTGCTTCCTCCAGAGCACAGTTGGACAGTGGTCACAACTCTTTTTTTTTTTTTTTTAATATAGATGTGGTCTTGCTATGTTGCCCAGGCTGTCTCGAACTCCCGGCCTCAAGCAATCCTCCCACTTCAGCCTCCCAAAGTGCTGGGATTATAGACGTGAGCCACCACACCTGGCCGAGGCCAGCGCTCATGCCATGCATTGCCTTTCTGCAGAAGCTCTTGTTGGGTTCCCTAAAGGTACCATCCCTTGATGGTTCTCTTAACCTTGCCCATACTTATGTGAATAGTCCTTTCAATTAACTCTCTTTAATTATCCCTCTGAGTATCCCATCAGTTCTGGTCTTTTAGGCTTCTCAAAGTTTACCATACACACCCATCACCTGTGCATCTTGTTAGAGGAAGACCCTGATCCAGCAGGTCTGGGGTGGGGCCTGAGACTGCACATCTAACAGGTTCCTGGTATCTTTGCTGCTGGGGCAGGAGCCACTCTTTGAATAGTGAGGTCCTGGGTGTTTCATTGTGTTGAAGGGAATGGTCTCCGATTGAGTAAGAATGAGGCAGGGAGGAGGGGGCAAGAGCTCTGTAGACTTCCCTAAAGTCAAACCCTGCTGCAGGAGGTAGCTAGCTGAGAGTTAGGTTTAGAGAGGGCAGTCTTGGATATAGTAGGTGTTAATATGTTTTCAAGATTGCTAGAAAATTATTATTATTATTATTGAGTTGGAGTCTTACTCTGTTGCCCAGGCTGGAGTGCATGGCACGCTTATGGCCATCCTAGTGTTGACTTGCTGGGCTCCCGGGATCCTTCCACCTCAGCCTTCCAAGTAGCTGGAACTACAGGCATGCGCTACCACGCCCGGCTAATTTTTAAAAAAAATTTATTGTAGAGACGAGGTCTCACCAAGTTGCCTGGACTGGTCTCGAACTCGCAGGCTCAGGAAATCTACTCACCTCGGCCTCCCAAAGTGCTAGGATTACAGTCTGAGTCACCGAACCTGGCTGAAAATTTTTATTTTTTAAACCATGGTGCAGTAGCCCAGAAATAAAACACATTCAGCAACTGTTTGGGGAAATATTTATTTTAAATATCTCAGAAGCTTTGTGTTAATAGATCCTCCCATTTTCATGAGCATTAAACATTTACCAGTCTCAAAACATGCGTAATGACATACTATTTAGGTCTGCAATGATTTAATCATTCCGTTTTGACATGCATTTTTAGATTCAGTCACATTAATTTTAGGTGACGCCAATGCAATAAAACCTTAGAAACTGATGTGTTGAGTTTATTTCATAGTCCATGTTTACAAATAATACATTTACATGTGCTAATAATTTGTAATACATTTATTAATACATTTGTATTAATATTACCTATGTATTTGTTGGTGTAAATTCAGAGTTCTGGGTTGTTACATAATAGTAGTTACTAACACAATCCCAATGTTGAGACAGAGGTTATTTTATATAGTTAAAAATAGGAGTTATCTTGCAATAGATTAGAGTCTAATTTATATGTATATACAATCGCTGACTTTTATTCTATGTTTTGCTTTGGCTACATGCAGAAAGCATTTGATTTCTATCATTCTTGATTTCATTTGATGCACAGGTGTTCCCGTTGATAACTCCAGGCCTTTATTTTACCCAATCATGAGAACTAAGATCTTTGATTATGCCTACAGTCTTTATTGCCAATTAGCCTATTATTTTTCCAAAACTTGCACTGAAAAGAGGTGGTAGGGTAGGAAACATGTTGTAAGAATTCTTTTTTTTTTCCTTAGGTAAAACACTTCCAACAATTTTTCAACTGTAAAAAAAAAAAAAAAAATCAAACTTTCTCTCATGTCATTCACAAACACTTAGACTCCTATGGTTTCAAAGTTAATGTATTGCTTTTATCACTTTTGACCTCTGATAACTATTTCCAAGAAGGTGATTCATATTAGAAAAATATAACACATTTAGTTTCTGTGCCAACACATAGGAGGTTGTTGCAGATGGCATCTTGGCAGCTTCAAATGCCACCTCAGGTGCACACAGGAGGATGCCTGACTTCCACGCGTGACAAACCACAGATGCTCCTCATCTTCTATGCCTGTAGGGTTCAAAGCTTGCAAATGATGTTATCATAAGCCAATGACTCTCAAACTGAGTGCACATCAAAATCACCTAAAGGGTTTGTTAAAACAAAGAGAGGGCGGAGTGCGGTGGCTCAAACCTGTAATCCCAGCACTATGGGAGGCTGAGGTGAGGGGACTTGCCCAAGGGTTCAAGAACAGCCTGGGCAACTTGGCGTGACCTCATCTCTACAATAAAATAACATGAAATTAGCCATGGGTGGTAGCATGCGCCTGTAGTTCCAGTTACTTGGAAGGCTGAGGCGGAAGGATTGCCGGAACCCAGCGGGTTGAGGCTGCGGGGGTTGTGAGCATGCCACTGCACTCCAACCTGGGCAACAGAGTGAGACACCGACTCAAAAAACAAAACAAAACAAAACAAAAACAACAACATAGAGAGATGGGCCCCACTCCCAGGGTTTCTGTTTCCTGAGTCTGGGATGGGACAAGAGAATTTGCATCTCCAACAAGCTCCCAGGTGATGCTTATGCTGTTGGTCTGAGGACCACACCTTGAGAACCAGTGTCATAAACAATACGTGTTGAGTGACCATAAGATGTTCTAGATGCTATGCAATGGGTTACCCAACAGCCAAGGATGGACTCTGTTCCATAGAACTCACAAACTCCACATTGGAGTAAAGAATAGGTCAGCACACATAATTTCATATCCTTTTTTAATTCCTCTGTCTCTCCACCAAGTAGGTCCCATATTTGATATCCTAGTCTTTGGCTCTCTTAAACCATTTTTTCCTCTTCTCATGTCATTCCCCCTTACAGGAGTTCAGAGAAATGGTTAATCCTGAGAGAGGAAACGGAGGACTGAGTTTTGTTAGTCCTGGCAAAAATTCCAAGACATTCCTAGGCACAGACTGGTCAAGGACAACTAGGCCACTGCTTCTGAGAGGAAACGGTACTTATTGGCACAAAGCTAACTGTATTTTCAAAAAATGATGCTAAATCTTTAACTATGGGAAAGTGAAAAAAATTAAAAAAAAAAAAAGATGGGCTGTCTCACAGAATAGAGGAAATAGAGATGAAAGTGTCTCTTCACTCTTCACCTGTGCCAACAAAATGTATCATACATTCTCTCCAGTTTCAAGAAACAATAAAAAAGACTTCTCGACTGTATCTTCATTCTTGGCTCATTTGCCCTTAGCAATGTCACAACATTAAAAGGAAATAACTCATTATTCTTTCATATCCCACTCTCAACAATTAAATATCTATGTCCTAAATAACACTGCTCTCAAATGCCCGGTTTATCACATCTATTTTACAAACTTCAGGGCACAAAACCAGTGATCTTCTTTCTTAAAAAAAAGGAAGAAGCCAGGGTGGCTCACATCTGGAATCCCAGCATTTTGGGAGGCAAAGACGAAAGGATTGCCTGAGCCCAGGGATTTGAGATCAGACTAGGCAAATTGGCAAGAACTCATCTCTACAATAAATTAAAAAATTAGCTGGGCGTGGTGGTGCATGCCTGTAGTGCCAGCTACTTGGAAGGCTGAAGTGGGAGGATCACCTGAGCCCAGCAGGTGGGGGTTGCGGTGGTCGTGAGCGTGCCACTTCACTCCAGTCTGGGTGACAGAGTGAGACTCTAACTCAAAAAAAAAAAAAAAAAAAGGAAGAAAAAGAGAATAGTATGATAAAGCAAGAGGTGATTTTTGACCTTACATTGGAAATAGAGCCCAAGTGCTGGCCTGGTTTGTGCAGTCAATGCCTGGGCAGATGGTTGAGGAGACACGGATATGTGTGATGATGCCACCCACGCCTTCCTCCCCTGCCAGGTGCTCCAGAGACGCTTCTCAGCCTATCAAAGAAAGAGCTGATGAAAAAAGACAAGCCCCACTCCACCCGCGTCATGCTCTAGTGAACTCTCAGTGTTTATCAGCGTGATGCTCCTCCCAAGTGGCTTTGGGAGAGCCCAGTCCTAAGGTGCTTAGACTTTCTCCATCTCGATCTGCTGGTGGTAGTGCCGAGCCTGCCGCTGGCCAACATTCAGCTTGTACACGGAGCTCTTGTGCTGGCATCTGTGGTATCCCCACACTGCCCCCACACCCGCCAGGAGCACCAGCAGGCACAGGATGGTGACAATGGTGGCGATCACGGGGCCTCTGCTGAGGCCGGGACAGTTGTCCCCGACACAGGGCTCCAAGGTTGGGAGAAGCTCTTCGCTTGCACCTGGCCCGGGGCCTTCCTGCCCCAAAAAGTCCTCCGATAACAGGTAGGGGAAGCTGTCCTGGACCTCAGGAGCTGAGGTTTCCACTAGAGGCTGGGTGGCCACCATCATCGTTGAGGGGATGTTGTCCGTCATCTGCTGGACAGCAGTTGTTGTTAACGTCTCCAGGGTAGAGTTGGTGAGTTCATCGGGTAGGGTGGCCATGGAAGACTTCTCTGGGGTGAATCTCCAAGGTTCGGTGGACTGGTGCTTGGTCAAGTCACCATCCCCGTGGTGGGGGCCCTCAGTCTCAGACACATTCATGGGTCTGAGAGCCAAAGCCTCAACATCTAGTATTTGCGATGGAAGAACTGCATTATGGGTTGTGTCCTCAATTGGCATGAGAGCGGTACTCCTAGACTTCTTAACTTCCACCAGAATGGGCTGATCAGGAGTAACTAGGACGCTTTCATCCAGTCCTACTGACCCACCCCCTTTGTCTCCATCCTCTTCCTCTTCTGCCTCTGTCTTCCTCCAAGCTCCGTCTGTCACAGGGTAGCCATCTAACCAGGACTCATCACTGCTGCTGCTCACCACTGGATCCCCCGTCTTGCTGGCATTCCTGCCCACGAATGGCCCTAAGGGGTCATCAGTGTTGCTATAGATCGCCTTGGTTTCGGGTTCACCTGGGATCAATTTTACTTCACTGTGGTTGTCTCGAGCAGCAAACTGCTTCTTGGTGTCATCATCCACCTCCTTTTCCAACTTAGGCTTGTGGAAAGTCTCAGCAGGAAGCCAGAACAAGTACTTGCGGTCTAGTCGGGATCCTGGCAAGGCGGTGGGGACACTGCTCCTGACACCAGGCAAGCCTGCGGTGGGTACAAATGCTTTATCCTGGGCTAGGTTTTCTCTCCCCACAGAAATGGAGACCAGATGGTCCTGTTTGGGAGCCTTCTCAGAGGCTTCTTCCTCACCTGTGTCTTCTTCTGCCTCTGCCCAGGAATCCTCCATGAGCTCTCTGAATGACACAGATCTGTCATCAGGGAAATTATCTTCATAGTCAATATGTGCCTCAGCCTCATCTGGAAGGAAAGAGAGGAAACCTCATGAGGTCCAAACACAAAGCCGGTGTCGAACACAAGAAAATGAAATAAAAAGCGCAAGGGCTGGAAGAGAATGTATCACACCGTTATCATTCACAGATGCTGTAACTGTGTAACACAGATAAATCCAAAGAATCTACATGTAAACCATACAATCGACCTGTGAGTTTATCAGGAACACTGGGTCTCCGGTAAATATAAAACATCAGTTGTATTTCCATATATGGTTAATAAAGAGAAAATTAAAATTTAAACTGATGTCATTTACAATAGCATTAAAAAAAACATCAAACACTTAGGAATAACTCTAACACAAGTTGTGCAAGACATCTACATGGAATGGCATAAGATATTGCTGAGCAAAATAAAAGAAGACCAGGCCAGGCTTGGTGGCTCAGCCTGTAATCCCAGCACTTTGGGAGGCTGAGGTGAGTGGATGACCTGAGCCCACGGGTTCGAGACCAGCCTGGGCAACTTGGCAAGACCTCATCTCTACAATAAATTAAAAATAAGCTGGGTGTGGTAGCATGCGCCTGTAGTTCTAGCTACTTGGAAGGCTGAGGTAGAAGGATCGCTGGAGCCCAGTAGGTCGATGCTGGGGTGGCCGTGAGTGTGCCACTGCACTCCAGCCTGGGCAACGGAGCAAGACTCCAACTCAAAAAGAAAAAAAAAAGAAGACCTAAATGAATGGAGGGAAATACCACGATTATGTAATGAAAGGCTCAAAATTGTTAAGTTGTCAATTTTGTTCAAATTGATCTATACAGATTTAATGCAATTCTAATAAACATCTCAGACATTACCAAGTGGATGCGAAAGTTTGTGGAAATGCCATGGATCAAGAATAGACAAAGCAATCATGAAAAAGAAGAAAAAAGCTGGAAGACATACACAAAACATCTCAAGATTTACTATAGAACTGAATCACTTTTTAAGGCTGTGATATTGGCACAAAGATAGATCATTGGATTACACTAAAATTAAGATCTTCTGTTCATCAAAAGCTACCACGAAGAGAGTTAAAATGCAAGACACAGAGTTGGAGAAGATATTCGCGACACAAATAACTTTCAAAGGGCTTGTATCCAGAATTTTAAAAGAACTCCTACAAATCTATACGAAATAGATAGACAAATGACAGAAATGTTGGCAAGATACTTGAATTGGCACATCACCAAGATGTCTAAATAGTCATTAAACGTGTACAACTGCTCAACCTCACTAGCAAGAGAGAAATGCTGATTGTAGTCATAATGAGATCCCATTACATAGCACCAGAATGGCTAAAATTAAACAGACTGACAATATCAAGTGTTAACTAGGATGTACAGCACTGTTAGTGGGAGTGTGAAATGGAACAACCGCTATGGAAGACTGTTTGGGCACGTCTGCTGAAGCTGAACATATGGATGCTCAGTGACACAGCAATTCCGCTCCTAAATATACACTCAACAGTCATGTGTACATATGGGCACCAGAAGAACAGCACAAGGATGTTCATAATACCCCCAAACTGGGAGCAATTCAGATGCCCATTAACTTGCAGAACGGATACAAAATTATGGCATATTCAAACAGTGAAAACTTGGACCTCAATGAAAATGAACCAACCACTGCTTCCTACAGTATGAATTGTGGATGAATTTTACGGCCAAAATGTTGAGGAAAAGAAGCCAGGGACAAAAGAGCACACTTTGTGGGATTCATTTATATAAGGTTAAAAAACAAGAAGCGCAAATCCATGATGTTAAAAGTCAGAATGGCCGAGATGAGGGGATTGCCTGAGCCCATGGGTTCAAGAACAGCCTGGGCAACTTGGCGAGACCTCATCTCTACAATAAATCAAAAAATGAACCGGGTGTAGTAGTGCGCGCCTGTAGTCCTAGCTACTTGGAAGGCTGAGGCAGAAGGATCGCTGGAGCCCAGCCCGTTGACACTGTGGCTGTGAGTGTGCCACTGCACTCTAGCCTGGCAGACAGAGTGAGACTCCAACCAAAAAAAAAAAAAGTCAGGATGGTGGTTTCGCTTGGGTAGGAAGAAGGAGTGACTATGGGGTCTGGAGACAAGCAGAACTTTTGGGTACTGGCAACTTTGTATCTCTTGACCTACCTGATGGCTAAAGAACTTTGTTTATTCTTTGACAATTCATTGATCTGTTGCCTTATGGTTTGTATGTATGTCATAATTAAGTTAAAAATGCATATTAAAGCACTAACTTGTTCTTTGTCAAACTTCTAAATTGTGTGATGATGCGATAAAGTATTCTGAACTCGACTGAGTGAGAACAAACAGAGCCCCACAACCGGGAAGCCAGAATGTGAGGACAGTTTGATGAGACGGGAATCACATGGGTCAGGAAAGCTCAAGAAGCTGGTGTCCTCAGAAGAGCGCAACCCTCTGAGCTTTTGCCTCTCTCAATGGTCTTTGAAAGCCAAGTCCTTGTGTCTGTAGTTCCAGCTACTTGGAAGACTGAGATGGAAGGATCGCCTATGCCCAGCAGGTCAAGGCTGCGGTGGCTGTAAGTGTGACACTGCACTCCAGCATGGGCAACAAGAGTGAGACTCCAACTCAAAAAAGAAAAAGAAAAAGAAAGCTAAGTCCTACTGAAAGACACACTTAAATTATTAAAACAGAAAGATTCCCCCACTTAACGTTGCAGCTTCAAAGGAACGAAATGCAAAGAAGTTCTAGAGCCAAAGTCCAAAGGAATCATGGGGTGTCTGTCCTATGGTGCACTCCTGGGCTCTGAAACTAGATTAGCGGGCATCTGGCTTATTTCTAAAGGCTGTTAGGAAGTACGAATCTGTGTCTTGCTTATTTAATGACTTGCAGAGTTATAAATAAGATTTTTTTTTTTCTGAGTTGGAGTCTCACTCTATTGCCCAGGCTGGAGTGCAGTGCCACGCTCATGGTCACCGCAGCTTTGACCTGCTGGGCTCAGGTGATCCTTCCACCTCAGCCTTTCAAGTTGCTGGAACTACAGGCATGTGCTACCATGCCCAACTAATTTTTTGAGTTAGTGTAGACACGAGGTCTCACCAGGTTGCCCAGGCTGGTCTCAAACCTGCGGGCTCAGGCAATTCCCTCTCCTTGGCCTCCCAAAGTGCTGGGATTATAGGTGTGAGACACCGCACCTGGCTATAAATAAATTTAACAATCCTTTATGATCTCGTCCTAAAATTTAAGCCCGTTCACTTTACTTGTATCTTCAGCCAAAAAAGGAAAACATTGACTAGCGAGCAAACATCACTAATAATTCAAATGCATGTAATGTCTTATGCTTAGAAAAGGACAGTCCAGTGATTATTTCAGGGGACCCTCTACTCCTTGGTGTCCTGTTCACAAATCCTCAGATAGAAACCACAGCGGATGGATGAACCATTCTTATGAGCTTGTAGAATTCAAATACAGGCTCCCAGGGATCAGTCAGGCTGCCTCCCTGCACATTGCCGGCTATATCATCATGTCAAGTACTGCACTGACCCTCTTCTTCCTTCGACGGACTTCACTGAGTGCTGACTATGTGTCTGGCACTCTGCTAGAGCTTGGGATCACTAGTGAACAGGACAAACACTCCCTGCCCTTATGGATCACATGGACAGAATCTCACGGTCTTGCTACCTATTGGGCTGAATTCCTAAGCGTTTGGGTGCACAGATTCTCACCCATCATGCTGAGTAAGCATTAGGTTTTGCATTTAAGTACCATCCTTCTTTCAAACATAACAAAATGAAACAAATGCCGGGCAACCTCTTCGGGTCCCCTCCCATTGTGGGGGCTTTTCTGTCCTCTCAATAAATCCAGCTTTATAAAAAAGAAAAACAAACAAACAAACAAATACGACTTTTCTCAAAACTTTTCTCAGCCGGGCTTGGTGGCCCAGTCTGTAATCCTGTGCTTTGGGAGGCTGAGGTGAGTGGACTACCTGAGCTCAAGGGTTCAAGACCCGCTTGGGCAAGTTGGCGAGACCTCATCTCTACAATAAAATTAAAAAAATCAGCCAGGCATGGTAGCACATGCCTGTTTTTCCGGCTACTCGGAAGGCTGAGGTGGAAGGCTTGCCGGAGCCCAGCAGGTCGAGGCTGCGGGGGCCAGAAGCAGCCACTGCACTCTAGTCCGGGCAACAGAGTGAGACTCCAACTCAAAAAAACAAAAACAAAAACAACTTTTCTCTAAAATTTACCCAAAACATATAAACAAATCATACTGAAATGTAAGAAGGTCATGACTTAAATCTTTGTCCTTGGGGTAAGATCACTGGATTGTTTGCTTGCCCATGTGTAAGTACTCACTGGCTGTGATAGATGGATTGTGAAAATGGCCAGAATTCTCCATTCTTCCTTGCATCAAATTCTTTTGTAATGTGAGTTTGCAGCTCTTCCCATCAAGAGATCTTCCTCCCAAATGGGTGGGGCCCATTTTTCCACCTCTAGAACTTGGACTGGCGTTGTCGCTTGTCATGACCTACCAAATGCAGTGGAAATCTTGCATGCCTCTCAGAACCCTGCCAGCTGCCATGTGAACAAGCCTGGATGCCAAAGGAGGAAAGACCATGTGGAGGACAGGTGAATATCCCCATGGAAGCTGTCCTTGACCAGCCAGCCCCAGCTGAGAGAGACCAGCCAAGACCAGAAGAAAGTCAGCTGAGCCCAGCCCAAACTGCTGATCCAAAAAAATGGAGTCAAATCAATGATTGTTGTTTTAAGCCACTATGTTTTGGGGGGAGGGATTATTATGCAGAAAGAACCTATTCGAAGGCTGGCAATGGCAGGGCCCAAGGCATTGTAAACCCTAGAGTAGAATAGTGCCAGTCTGTGACAGGTATTCTTATTGGTATTTTTGAATGAGTGAAGGACTAAATGGTCCTGGAAGGACAAATGTGCAATTGCACAGATCTCAAGCTTCTCTTCATCCCTGCCTCATGACTGCTCAGCACTGAGATTGATTTCAGGAACACAAGCGGACTATGGGTCCACTTC